TCTTACACTCCACCACCAGCTTCAGCGCGAAGGCTTTGGGTTCGATCTGCGTCCTCTGGTTCACCAAGCAGGTGATTTCTTTTCCGTTTTCAGCAGGCGTCGGGATCATCCGATACTCGCTCTTCACGGTCACCGTCCCGTCCCTCTCGGGCACTGAAGTGTGGTTATAGCGGCCGGCAATGGTTGTGATCCAGGAGATTGTTGCCTCTGGTTTTCCTTGGGCTGCTTCGCAACTTGCCACGACCACCTCAGAAGAGCTGGCTCGCACCGGGATGGCGGTAGCTGAGTTTCTGGGTTTGGCTGATGGAGGAATAAAGATTCAAGAGTTTACAACATCATTTTGCTTTTCAACAGCCTTTTTTTAATCAGTCAAGTGGAGCTTGAGCTAAAAGACATGCAGCAAAGCTACTTCAGTACTCAGACCTGTTATTGTCTTCTATTAATGGGATAATGTAGAGTCAGCCGGTCATTATTGGGGGAAAAAAAAAAAAGCATATATGACATTATGAGCTTATGACATAGCTACTTACTAAATAAAAAAATAAACAGACATGAAATATTGATTGATTACTGGAGAAGAAAGAGCACAGTGAGATACGAGAGGCATGAAACTAGCACACTTATGTTGGAAACCAGATGCCTCGGACAATCTGGGACGGTCAATTATAGAGGTCATTATATAAAAATATTTGAATCACAGAACTGAGTAGAAACAAGTATATCAGAGAGCCGTGTAATAATGTCCAATAGGGGCTTTTCGATGCATGATACTGACAACTACAGACCTGATGGTCAACAGTGAGACCAAATATTAAAGAGAAGTTTAAGAATCTGTCATTGTTTATGACAGGCATTTATTTGTTTAATTTACGTCCCATTTAATGAAAGCAAATGAGACAATCGCTGAAATCAAATTAAAACTTGCTTTACACAATTTTGTCTTAATTCACTAAAATTAAAATATAATGAAAACAACTGAAACGAAATTGATCTAACATTTAATGAAAGCAAAGGAGGCCACTGCTGAAATAATTAAAACCTGATTAACACCACTTTGTCTAAAATTAACATAAAATTTCATAAAAACATCTGAAACAAAAAACTGGAGAAATTAAATTAATTTTAATTATATTTTAGACAATTTTTCCTTATTTCACTAAAATTAATTTATTAATAAAACTTTCCTGAAAACAACTGAAATATAATTAAATAGTCACTATGTGGCATTTTACAGATACAAAGATATTTATTTATTTATTTTATTTATCTATCTAACATTTAATGAAAGCAAAGGAGACAAGTGCTGAAATAATATGAAATTTTTTTTTTTTTTGTCTTAATACACTACAAGTAATATATTTCATGAAATAACTGAAACAAAAAAACTGCTGAAATTAAATTAAAATTTGATTTACTTTCCCAGAATTAAAATATCATGAAAACAACTGAAACAAAATGTATTTATCTAACATTTAATGAACGCAAAGGAGACAATTTCTGAAATGAAATAAAATTTATTTGATTTACTTTTTTTTGTTTTAAAACACTAAAATTAATATATTTCATGAAAACAACTGAAACAAAAACTGCTGAAATGAAATTAAAATGAACAATTTTGTCTTAACTAAAACTAACATAAACTTAATTAAAATTAACAAAAGTTCATTCAAATAAACAAAAAACTGCTAAAACGAAACTAAATAGTCACTCTTTACATTTTTTTATTGTTTTAATTAAAAGGAATATGTAGGGTAATACTGATTTTTATCACTAAGAACTGTTATATAGTAGTGTATATAAATAATGTGAGCAAACAATAGTGACAGTATCCATTCATATGCATGAAGGCATGGTTATCTGATGCTGATCATCTCATGGCCAAACACACAACAATAAAGCTAAAGAGAGAGGTTAACAATGATAGAGGAACGCTTACTTTGTGTACTCAGGGGCACGGCTGGACTGGGACAAAAAATCGGCCCTGGCATTTTTTGGTCCAGGCGGCCCATCACCACTTCGATATATATATATATAACAGATCAAGCCTGTTCTTGATAATGCTGCTGTGAAAACGTGGGAAAAGCCGACGAGGAAGAAGTTGGGGTGAAGCGATCTTTATATAGGCGGAGCAAAATACTTCATCGCTCTGTCTATAGCGCATTGTGATTGGATGTTTACGCTGTCAATATAGGAGACAAACCAATGGGCCACTGGCTGCTCGCTGTCCCTGCGTGATGGTTTTCGGCAAAAAAACAAAAAACATTCTGTCGGCCCCTTAAGTGCGTCGGCCCACCGGGAAAATGCCCGGTATGCCCGATTACCAATCCAGCCCTGCTCAGGGGTAAACAGGGATAGAGACGCTTGAACACAGCCAACATGGATAAACAGACAGCACTGATTCATAGCATCACTCTGTCTCTGATGATAGCATTAGCTTAGTCACTCAAATGATGAATCAGGCTAATGGGCGGCATTAGTGTTAAAGCAGACAGCAGAAACGCTACTGTGAGTAAAGCTAATGCAGTTTAGCACGACTCCGTGTCTGCGTTTTCCTAAGATTTCAGTCCGAGCATCAACTTTGAGGTTTGTTGTCTATTTGATAGAAGTTTGTTGGCAATATAAAAGTAGGAAACATTGCAAATATTGCTTTGATTTGAATGCACTAATTATTTGACAATTAAGTTTCCTAAAGACTGTGCCAGTAGGCTAATTTCACGCTTTCTGCTCATGTCAAGACACACGAGTGTGAGAGCAGAGCTATTTTAAGAGCATCTCTGATTTGAACCTCAACGGCAAAAATAGCGATGGGAAAGTTTGATTCATTTACACGAATCAGTAATTTTTTTAAATAATTGGTTCAAAACACCAATTCAGTGATTTGTTTGAGTCATTATTTGCCATGGCATTTTATATGCTTTTATATCATTATTGTAACTACAGTGAACTGTTGAACTGCTATTACTCGAGCTTTCATGGTTACGGTTGCCAGATTTCAAGAGTTTAAATCCACCATTCAGAGCTTTTTCATAAATCAATGGGTCACAGACGAGACATCCTATTTTAATGTCCACATTAAATGCATTTTGATTTTATATACACAGAAAGAAATATTAATGTTTCAAATAACTTTTGCGAAAATAAAATGTCAAAATATAGGTGAAATAATATAGTTTTCTGCCCAATGGTTTACTTAATCTTCTCAACCTGGCAACCATGCGTTAGTGCGCTCTCTACATTACGGAAAAAGTGCTGATGAGCTGAAAACACCAGCAAACATGTAATTTGGAGTTTAGCCATCTCGATTGAGATATTACAGTATGCTCTAATAAAATGTAATACAGCCAGGGTTTTTTTTCACAGTTGTTTGTGGCTAAATCTAAGAGCAAACCATGCGTGTTGACATTCTTTTGATTTGTGCACATGTGAAAGTGCACTAATTCTGATTTAATGTAAAAAAACAAAAATTTAAATGCTAATTATATTGATTATATTTAGGGCTGCCACTAATGACTATTTTTATTTTTATTAATCTATCGACTAATTTATCGATTAATCTAAATTATTAATTTCCCACAAAAATCAACAATTTTACTTAAGAATATTTTATTAAACTATATTTTATTAAACCAAATGAAATTTTTACAAAACCAAATTTCTATGAAATCCTTTTTTTAAAGCAAAAGTAAAGTGCAACATAGAGTGCAAGAAGCAAGTGTCCATCTCATAGTCCAAATCACTGAAAGTTCAGTATTAGAATAAAATTGAAGAATCGCAACAGCCCTAATTATATTGCTGAGAAAAATAATCCCGAACAATTGTTTAGCCACTATCGTACAGTCCTAGTAGCGGGTCTATAAATGAACAAGTGTTACTTACCCAGCATGATAAGAGTGGTCGTTCCCTGCTCGTTTCCGCTGGGGTAAGTGGCATACTCACAGATGTACCTGCCAGCATCAGCCATCCTCAGTTTGTCGATCCTAATGGAGGGGTTCTCCAGGGAGCCCTGTGTGAACGATACTCGGCCATCAAAGTCTTTATTAGGGAAACTGGCTCCATATTGGGGATGGAACACAGCAATGTTGTGCCTATCACCCTCCACGCGCTCAAACATCCACGAAACCTGCGAACCAGAAAGACAGAGAGAATCAATCCTCACGGCATTGCTTTTACATGCAGCATCCTGCTAGCCACCTGCTTGCTGTTTTAACACTGGACTAAACCATATGGATGGAGGAAACACTGGACGACTACTGGACCTGTGCTGATCTGTCACTATAGCTTACATTTGTTCAACACCTACAGGTGTTTTATGAAATGCAAATATTTCGTTTTCATGTAAGCACCGAATAGAGTAGTTGTGAGCTCTGCATATTTAAATGTCACCCAAGTATCTTTATCAAGCAGGCAGACAGATTTTATTGAAAACTGTGATAATTCAAAACTTCTGATAACCTTGAAAGCATCAGTTTAGAATGAATAGAAAAGTATAATCAAATTCACTCATTTTTTGTGCTACAGTATATGCCATCATTTTTTTCCAGCGAAACTGTATACATTTAAAATTAAAAGCCTAATAAATTGTGTAAATTAAAAAAAAAACTAAATATATATATATATTATATAATATATAATATTTAGATTGTATATATGTACAGACAGACAGACAGACAGACAGATAGATAGATAGATAGATAGATAGATAGATAAAATTACTTTTTTTTTTAAATAAGACTTTTTAAAATTAATCTTAAAGAATTTAAGAATATATACACACAAAAGTTTGGTGTCAGTGAGATTTAATGTTTAACAACATTTAGAAATGTTACAAAAATTTCAAAGAATCCTGAAAAAAAGTTTCATCGTTTCACAAAAATATGAAGTAGCACAACTGTTTTCAACATTGATAATAATAAGAAATTATTCTTGAGCAGCTAATCAGCATATTAGAATGATTTTTGAAGAATCATGTGACACTGAAGACTGGAGTAATGATGCTGAATATTCAGCTTTTATCGCAGGAATAAACTATATTTTAAAATAGATTCAAACAGAATACAGTTATTTTAAATTATAATATTTCACAACTATTTCCTACTGTAATTTTTGATCAAATAACTGCAGCCTTGATGAGCATTTAACATTCTTACAACCCAAATCTTTTAAATAGGCCTATTTCATGTACCAAAAATGTATTCATATACCAAAAAAAAAAGTCATTTTTGAAACTTGGAACTAATCAAGAAAATCTTCTCTCACCTGTGTGAGTTTGGTGCTTCCGCTGTTGGTGAACTCGCAGCGCAGATTGACAGATCCATTTGGATACGCAGTGACCTCAGGTTCCACTCGAACACGCTGACTCCAGACCGCTGCAAAAGAGGAAAGAGGGAAACATTAGAATGGCCCAGTATCATAGCCTACATCAAAATTTCGTAAATGAATTCCAGACATCAGGCTAATAAGAAACACACCAAAGTGACTCGCGTTATATTCCTGGACCTGAACTTCCTCCGGGAAAGAGAGCAGCAGTCTCAGACTGATTAGAGCGCAGTGGCTTCATATCTATCGACTGAATGTGCAGACTGTTTCAGCATGAGACTTATCCTGCTTTGATTGCACATAATTAAAGAAAAAAACAACAACTTTGAGCTATCTCATCATCACAGCATCAATATACATGATCACGGATATGGATCAGAGCAAATGCAGAACAAATGCATCTGGGTGAGAAGCATTACTAAAGTCAATCTGAAACATTCACAGCTTTTTACTCCTACAATGCAACACATGAAACAGGCCATTCAAAGAAACAAGGTTGATTTTATCGGTCAATAACTGATTGGATTTTTTATTTGGAATAATATGTGCTAATGAATTTATCATAATAAGACCAGGAACATGTGTTAACCCTGTAAAGCCTGATGTAAGTCAGAAAAATATTTTTAATGGAATGGTTTGTTGAAACTTTACACAAAATATTTTTTATAATAAGACCAGGAACATGTGTTAACCCTGTAAAGCCTGATGTAAGTCAGAAAAATCTTTTTAATGGAATGGTTTGTTGAAACTTTACACAAAATATTTTTTAAATAAGTTCATCTTGAAATATTACTAACAATATAACAATTATTACTTAACCTCATAAAAATCAGTAAAGATTTCACAGCTAAAAGATGACGATTTTACTACATAAAGTATACCTATGACTATCTTTCTCCTTTTTTGGGGTGGGGGGATAAAAGAGTCATATAGATCTCTATTAAGTGTTCAAGGCCTCGTATTAGTATGAAAAGAATTTTAATAGTTTTTTTGCTGGACGTGTGTGATATAATTAGTCTTAACTTTCTCAGCATCACCGCCTAACTCATCTCTCAACAAATAACAGATGGATTCTGCAAACTGAAAATTACATTACACACTTGACTTGTGCGTAATTAAGTGCATAAATTATTAAAAATCATCAAAAATAATGTTTATGCTGCTTTTAAAACGGTATCTCGTCCTTGAACAAAACAGTCAAGTGATCACTATATTATAACAGGAGGTTAAAGCCTATAAAAGAAAACAATTGCACATTTATTATTATTAATCATGATAAACTCACACTGCATTGTGGTGCATATCACGATGCTTTCAAAAAAAATAAAAAATACTTCCGCTTTTGAAAATGTTGACCCGGTGGCTATGATCCCAGACGGTGATCTTTGTGTCGGCACTCGGCACAGCATTCACTTATGGAAGATCGCAAAGTTCGAGTTTTGCAAAACTCACTGGCTTTCTCTTTTCCGTATACAAAGGCAGGGTAAAATAAACAACCCGTGTTTTGGCTCAACTACTCGGCGGACTCCAGCAAGCTCCTGCGGAGACAGAAGCGAGAGACCTCCAGCTCAGAGCTCCAGGAGTCAAAGGCCAGTGAGCAGCATGAGAGCTGCTCCATATATACTGATGGAATAAAGAATGGCTCAGTGCTCACACACACGCATTCACAAAACAGCTGCTTTCAACCAGCTACAGATACATCAGCCTGCTCAAACGCTCCAAACACAGACCTCAAATTACATGCACCTCGGAGAGGATTAAATCTATCAAATACAGCTTGATTCTGTTATAGAAACGCATACCCTCGAATGCAAATGCAATGTCCACTCACTCTACACCCCTTCACCGCATTGAAAAGGACCAACTCGGTTTATGTTCCACAAAGGCATTAAATCGATCTGACCTCAGGATCGCAAACCTCCTATAAATCAGATCTGTTAGCTAACACCGACTGAAAAGTATACGACACACTGTAGAGGATGCCAAATACTCATACTGTACTGTAATGTGTCTGTATTAAAACTCCCTGAGGCTCTATGACACAAGCTTGATTTCATGCATGATAGTGTCAAAATGCAATTCATATTGCAACTTAAGTACGCCACAAGAGGTGCTTTAGATCTTAGTGGGCATTTATTCAACACGAAAAATGGAAAACTTTATGCATTTGGCTGTTCATTTACAATGCAACAGCTTTTTGGGGACCTGAAAAAGCAAACTTTTGAAAACGGGTTTCAAAGTGCACGTTTTTGAAAACATGCGCATTACATGTCAAGTCTATAGGAATTTCTTTACAAAGTAACATCGCCAACTAGTGGCCTGTCATGCATAATACAGCGTTTTAGCCATTTTTGTGGATCCATGTGAACAGTGAAACTTTTCCAAACTGCAAAAGGAAAAACATCGTCATGCAAACATACCCTTAGTCAAGTGTTTAAGTTTTGGCAGTAATGAAAACGAGGCTGCGTCGTCTTCTATGGTCGGTTTTTTCTTTCAGGTCAAGTACTGTCAATGCAGAGCAACAGTGAAGAAAATCTTTTTTTCTTTATGTTTATAGCTAGCTCATTTACCTGAATAACACTACATGTGGTTTAACAGCACAGCTACGTCTATATACGCTCAATTAAGCATTCTAATGATGTTTATATATCTGTCATAATAATTCAAGAACGCATGGTAGACCAGAAACAAACTTTACACAAAGACAACAAGAAAAAACTGAAGATTTATTTACTACTATTCTTATATACATTTCCATCTAAACCTTCTAAATAGTACTCTCTGTCAACAAGTATTGCTCGTTATTTGTATTGACTAATGCATCCGTTGTGGGTGTTTACTATTAAGCTCAAATTAACATGCCAGTCACATAAGGATAGAGGTATACAAACGCGTGCACATATCACTGTGTGCTCAGTTCATGTCCGTATCCAGGGCTCTAATGTCAGGAAGTGTGTGTTTTCATTATACGAGGAACTGCGTGTGACTCGATGTAGCAGAATTCCCCCTGAAGGTACACAATGGCCTGTCAAGACCAGCTTGGCGGAATAAGAAACAGAAACACAAAGTATTTATTCACTCACCTCACTCTCTTTACCTCCCTCTCTCGCTCGGCTTCGCTCCTCTTTTGTTTCCTTCTATCTTAGGCTCATAAATCTATTTTGCTCTCTCCCTCTTCCTCCGTACACATCAACAAATGAGTCATAGGGTAGAATGTAGTTGTACGATGTTTTAGTCATTCGTTTTTCACGGGGTCAATGAAAGAACGCCACGGATTTCAGAAAAAAGTGAAAATGAGAACAATACAGTGAAGACCGAACATGGATCAACTCTCGGACTCATTTGTATGCATACCCAGCATGCTCTACAGCCTCCCTTTGTGTTCAAGTGTTTCTGTTCATATTCCTGTACTGATCTACTATTTGTACTGGTTTTAATACCTCTGAAACAGTTGGGTGTCTACGTGCCGCTGATACGCTTTACTTAAGGATGACAAATGAACCAAAGCAGGCCCTTAAATAGGCTCTTAGATAAAACACAAACACATTTCAGGGGCACAAGCAATTTGGAAAAAGCACATAAGCTTGCTTTATGTACTCAATGCAAAGCTCATAGGTCCTTATGTTGAATAATGTGTGATATTAACCTCAGAGTCATTAATATATTCATATATATGCACCGCAGGGATGACTCTTCCTTGGGGCGCCACCTATTTGCACACTAACTAGCATAAATATTTAATGTTAGGTATATATTTAGGTGTAAAGGATTAGTTCCACTAGTAATTAAAATTGTCTTTATGTCACTATTTACAAGCCATTACGTACAACTTTTCTTTGCTCCATGGGGGTTTTGAACAATATCAAATTATAATTACATTTAAAAAAAAAAAAAGAAACCAATGAGGACTAAAGCTTTCTAACTTCAAAGAGCACCATAAAAGGATCATTAAAGTGGTCCATATGACTATTGCATGGACCCATTTTACAGACTGTGATGATGCATTTCCACAGTTATTAATATCATAAATCTAGCAAGGTATTTTATTTATTATTTATATTTTAGTTTTTATTGGTGTGACGTCATTTCAAATGAAATGAGGAAATGTTCAATTGGAGTTCATTTTGGGTAGAAAAAATTTGTTATGAGTTAATTTTGGGAGTTTGAAACAGCTACCAGAAACTTTCCAGAAAAGTTTGTTCTGGCTGGTAAACACCTTCGAACTAAAATACAAAAAAGGTGTGCATATCCTATAAACCCAATAAGGGCTCAGGTGCATGACAAAAATGGAGCAAATACAAGCAAAAAAAAAAAAAAATGTCCGTATACTGATGTGACTGCTCAAAAAAAAACTGTATTAAAACATGTACAACATTTCAACCATCAGGTCTTCATCGGGCACAAACACCTTCGAACTACCATTGGTCCTTGGTGATTATATAATAGTTAAGTGTGCTAAAGTAAAACCAAACACCGGAGAGCTGATCTATTAAGTGTAATTCTAATTGAAAGCAACACTGACACTGTTTGTTTTTTTTTTCATATTTAATACCGTAACGCTGTTTACTTTAAAGCAATCTATTGCATAAAATGCTATATAAAAAAAATGACGTGACTTTACTGAAGTGCCGAACTGCAGAGCTCATGCAAACATTAACATCACTATGATCATATGCTCTCTTAAAGGGACAGTTCACCCAAAAATGTTCTGTCATCGTTTACTTCTTTTTACACAAAATAAGGTATTTTGCAGATTGTTGGTAGGGCTGGGCGATTTTCCAGATTTTATCGATTAATTCGAATTTATTGTTTTGCCACGATTTAATTTTTTTGAAATCGAGGAATCGCGATTTTGAATAGAAATATTACCAAATGTTAGAATTAGACAATTTGACAATATGCCGGTGATAACAGTAAAGAGAAACGAACGATCCAACCGCATGTCGGCGCACGTGATTAACCGCTCACGTGTGACACGCTCTGTGAAGGACCATTAATATAGCGCTAAGCGCCATTCACACAGAATGCGCTTTTGTGTTGACAAAGATGC